TGTGTAAGTTGAAGCACCGATTTGGTGTTGCAGTGCTGGCTTTCCATTTTTTTAAACATTACATATGCACTACAGATACATTCGTCCATTGAGGTTAACATCAACAGTAGTCATGGTGTCATCCACTTTAGTTTGTTTATGTAGCAGTGTCCCGGACTACGCTTTTCGTGATCAGCAGTGCTTGCCCCACCGCGGTGGTCTATAGTGGCTAAGGTACTCGGCTGCTGACCCGCAGGTCGCGGGCTCAAATCCCGGCTGCGGCGGCTGCATTTCCGATGGAGGCGGAAATGCTGTAGGCCCGTGTGCTCAGATTTGGGTGCACGTTAAAGAACCCCAGGTGGCCGAAATTTCCGCAGCCCTCCACTACGGTCTCTCATAATCATATGTTGGTTTTGGGACGTTAAACCCCACATATAAATCAATTAAGCGATCAGCAGTGCTTCATATCAGCTTACCGCTTTTGTTACTGATATCCGTGTTTCTGTTGGCATCGTTTTATATAGTTATATACAGTCGTTATATCACAGTTGTAAAAAAACTCGCGATATAAAACATATGCAGCTGTTTGACGTATGTCTGTGCGTGCAATTGTACATATCTCTGGCGCAACTTGTAATGTTTTGCTAAATAAAAAAAGACAACACAGTCAGCTTCCATGCGCATGCTTTCGTATAACATCGATTCCCAAGGTTCGTGTGATGTGCCAATTTTTTTTATTATTATTGACAAGGTATACGGTGATTCTGGCACACAAAAGGCGCCTGGCAACTCCGTGTCCCTTAGAGCCAATGAACATAGAGCACCTAAGATCCCGTCATCCAAGCATAACAAGTCAACAGCACATAAAATATACAATTTTGCATAACAGTTAGGACATGAGATTCAAAACAATGCAACGAACCATCACTATATGGTATATATGGTGAGGTTAACAAATTGGAGCACATATATATGCGCTGTCCCGTAAAAAAGAAAAAAAGAAGAAACCTACACTAATATCGGTCAAGAATGCCACTGTTTCAAAAAAACTTGAAATGCTTTTACTTCGCACTTCAGTAAACCTTTATTGGTCATGGCCCCAAACTTTTCCTTAACTCTTTTTTGTGTGAAAAGCCTGCTCACTTGCAATTCGTAATCAATGTACTGTCGTGATCCATATGAGCTCGAACCAGAAGTTACTTTTTTCAAGCTCGCAGCGGCAAAACGCAGTTGGCGAGCATATAAATATTGTTCATTACATTGCATGCAGGCAGATACATAAGTGATTCGATATGTCCCATTCGTATCAGTATGCAGGTAATCATTAAATAAACTCAAATTTGGTGCTACAGCCATGTTGCTCTTGGTAGAACTCTGTTGTCAATAAGGCGTTCTCAACTAAACGCATATACAGTACACATAGTAAAAGGCTAACACAATTGTACTTCTAAAGCTACCCTACGTGACAATTCGTTATTTGTTTGGCATGCTAATACTTTTTTCTTTTATATTTATCCTGTTGTGTCCCGAATAAGTAGAACCCTGCTGCAATATCACTTTCGTGGGGCGTGTCTAATTTATGTGAAAAAGTTACACTTCTTGGTCAATATTGACGACGAAAACTGAAAGCATGCTGAGAGTGATGGCGTTATGTTTCATATTTCACTGACCAAACATTTTCGCAAGCCAGACCTTCAAGCAGAATCACTTTAAGCCTAAAACAGCTAAAACAAACGTGGCCTGCCTATTATCTCTCGACAAATATAAATCACTGAAACTACTTCATTTTACATTACAACGAAACAAGAAAGGCAACGGGACGGCGGGGAGGCAAGTTTCGAAATTCTGCTGTTCTTATAGGCACGTGCTGCATACAGCAGATGTAGAAATAGTACCTCTACGTGGGTAGCTGGTTCATACTATATGCAGCGGGACTTGGGCAAAGACAGCAGATGCAGATATACACGCGGACAAAAGTCGCCTGCGTCGACCCATAGAGTTTCCTACAAGTACACTAGAGGAAACACTGGTGCTAGTGTCTATGGTAACTGCAATGCATGATGCTTTAGCGAGCATGGGAATGATGGATAGTACACTGATTTGTCTAATCTTCGTATTTTATTCTCAGTTTGGCTTCGAATCGCTTGAAGCTGTTTTGCCATGAAACAGCAATCAGCAATAGTTTATCAGTTACGCTTCACTACCTTAGCCCTTTAGGCTCACCAATTAAAATCGGTTATGAAGTTCAAAACAGTTTGTTCTTTTATTCGACACAAAACCAAAACACTGCAATAAACGAAGCCACAACTGCGTATACGGTGCCCGCAAGCACAGACTAGGCAAATTCATGTTTTTAATGAACATATGTCCTGGAATGGGCATACAGACCACATTAGTTTAAATTTGAGACGCGTGGTTGGCACTCTGAATCGTTGTCGATGTCTTTTGCCCGTTACTGTAAAGCGGCTCTTATATCAGGCTCTTTTCCATGCCTACTTGAACTACTGCGCTTTAGTATGGGCAAACACTACGTCAACAAATTTAAATAGGCTAAATATACTTCAGAAAAGAGCGATCAGGCAATAGAAAACATATCATACCTCGAACACACAGGACAACTTCGTTAAACATAAAATTGTTAAGGCAAATGACATATACGATTCAGGTTGTTACAATTCTATATTAGCGCAAACAGAGGGAAACTCGACGCATTCCTGACACTTGCAAATCTTGAACATATACAAACCATTTACTTCCATCGATATTAACCCCCGTGGAAAATTCCGTTATCTCGCATCAATCGCGGCACCCAAAGACCTTAAGCCACGTGCTACCTACTATAATGAACTCATACGAGGAGCAAGACATAACAATTGACACATTAAACATATCGATGTGCAAACCTATTCGTGTAGATTGTATTGTTTACATAGGTCCACTCTGTATTGCTTTGCATCATTTATTGTGTACCTTTATATATTTTTTCCTTGTTATTTCTTTTGTGTACCTCATTGTGTACCTCTCTTATGTACGAAAGCGATGATACATACTCTGTGAATTACTGTGCTCAGTGTTTATAAAATATTCCTTTTTGTTTGTATACCTGGCCTGTCATTTACTTTGTCTTCTGCTTGTATTGTTTTCTGCTTTATATTATTTGTTTTTTTTTTCATTTTATTGTATTTCGTTTTCACCCTGTCATTGCTGACGTAGGGTGGACAGTGCTTAGTCAAGCTGCAATAACTGCAGCTTTTTTGCCGTCTCCCCATTTTCGCCAATGTATCTGTTTTGGTGAAAATAAAATAAATAAATAAATTCCCACGGTCTCTGAATAATCGATCACAGCACCCAGAGTACCCTCTAGTTCATTTTAGGAAACTCTATGCGTCGACCAGACTCCTGCCTACGTCGAAGTCATTGCTCGGTGTCTCCGAATAAGCGTAGTTGTTATGTAGATGCAAAACATTGCCTCAATTCACAATAGTCATCTACATCTCTTGTCTGCGCAGGTTTATTCTGCATAATGGGTAGGAATGAAGTAGTATACGGTGACTATGCAAAATACATACCTTTTTTTGCGGTTCACTGTTCACTTTCGTTATTTTCCTCTCGACCTGTTCACCTTCGGTGGCAACTAGGAAGGTACATGGGCAAGTTCCGATTGATATACAGCATTCTTTTGCAATGTATATATGCGCTAACGTTGTTTGGTTTACTTCCACTAAAAAAACTCATTTACAAAGTCGAAGCCGTTTAAAGAAATGCTCTAAGGTCCGTTACAATAAATCTAGGCTAAAAGATTCACCCACAGCATGCTAAAACAAGCCGGTATCCTCATCTTACAAAACCGAGCCAAGCTAGCGCGATTGAAACTGACGTATCAGTTAATTCACAAAGATATGAAGATTGACACTTCCAATACATATGTTATGATGGCTTATGGTGTACTATTGAGTTTTTTTTATTTACCTTGTTAACTTCCAATATCTTCTTTCCATGTAATGAATGTTTCTACTTGTATTTTGTATTGTAACAAGTCGGATATGCCCTTACTGTAATGATCTCAGATGGGATTGACAGTATAAATAAATAAATAAATAATATAGGAACATATCTGTGACATGCGACTGCTGCCGTGACCGTGAGCTGATGACTTTTGTTTTTTTTTTTTTTTTTTGTATGGTACAGCCTTGAATTTTTTGTTGGTGCTGATTGTGTTACTTGTATTTACTGCAGTTCCGGGCAAGTATTAAAACTTCTATTATAATTTGAAAGCAATTTGTCTTGATGTTGTTTTCAAACATTACTTGTGAAATTTCTCAAATTTTAAGAAAGAGAACCCTTTCGCTATCTTGGGTTTTCCGCAGAACTCATGCAGTGCTTGTGTATGTGTGCTTCGAGGGGTCGATGAATTCCCCCTCGCGCTATCAATTGCTAGCTCCTGGTTAGCTAAATTGGTAGACCAACCGCTCTGGAAAGGCGTTGGTCCTGGGTTTGAATCCTAGATCAGGATGAATTTTTGACACCTATGTAGCTTTTCTTTTTTTAGAAATCTGTACGTATTTCCTTGTGGCTTCGTGCTACAAAACGGGTGATTGTCTTCTTTCCCTTTCTCAACTTTTTCGACACCTTTCCGGTTTCCGCACAACTCATTTGCGATTCTCGAAATTTCATTGTCTAGTACATGCGTCTTTTTTATTTAATGTATGATCTTTTTTTTTTTTTGCTCTTGAGCTTAATATACACTTGAAATTGTCAACGAATGTGCACATGCATAATAAAATGCGCGAAGCCTATGCACACCGTGATTTATGAGAGTGGAACCAATGTGCTCAAAGAAGTTTTTAAGCCTAATATACCGGAACTTCACAGAGCATCGCACAAGGTATAAGTTCCTATTTTCATTAATTCCACTTTCGACCAACTCGTTGACTTATGTAATGTAACCTTGTAATCATGGCAGATCTGATGTAAATATCAGCAATGACTTCGTATCTGTGCGTGTAACGATAATTCTGCGGGGTGAAGTTTTTTTCTTTTTTTTTTTAGAACTGGCCTATTTCAGTGAGCTGTATCTCTGATACAGATTATGAGATTCGGGCATCCAGTTCTCATGTGGTTTGCGGCAAAGCATTCAAGAAGAATGAAATATAATGGCCCATCTAGTTTTTTCATGTGTACCTTTAAAAAGGGGGGGGGGGGGGGCAATCCAAAACTAAGTAAAATCACGATCTTTCGTCAAATTTCAAACGAGATGTCGGGAGCGCGCAAGTGCGCATGAGTCAAGGCGATGCGACGCTCTTGTGGATATGCATGGTCAACGTCAAGTGATAAACCTACCACCACCAACTTCAGTCGGCATTGGCTAACACGAACGCTGAACCGGACTAGGCATACTTCCTTCTATAGTAATTCGCAGTGTTCTTTGTTTTCGGCATTGCACTTAACAAACGGAAAGGGTCAATGAATTTTCATTTTTCCTGAATGTTTTTCCGCAAGCCTCATTAAAAAAAAAAAGCTGCGCGCATCTTCCCACGAGGGAGTAAATGTGCAGCATAGTGGTGAAGTGGGAGGGGGTTATCACGCGGATGTTGCGTAATTGGGTAGTGTTTCGGAATGCTTAATGCTCATTGAATGAAGGAGAAACGTTGCCTCGAACGAGTGGTGGGACGCTGATGTTGGGTTGTGCCGAATTACTGGTTGAAAACATGGAGTTTCCTCATTTAAGAAACTCTATGCCTCAGGTGGCCGCTCAAAGTCCTCGCACCTGGGCGGCATATTCAGCTTGCTGAACGGCCCAAAGCTGGTCGACCAGCTTGTCGCTGGTGACTGCCGCCTCCCAGCGGCAGCGTGACTGACGCTGCCGATCGGCAACAGGGACCGCAGCCGCGGCGGAGGCCGACCCCTGCCCTCGCGTGGTGGTAGCAGGAGCAATAGACCTCGCAGTTCGTCCCTGCCTAACTTGCGTCGCGAAGGGAGCGGCGGCAGTGGCGTTAACTTTTTTAGCACACTCCCAAAGCATGTGACACAGTGTGGCCCTTTCCCCGCACGCTTTACACGCGTCCGTCGTGTATCAGTGAGGATAACATAGGCGTAGGACCACCAGGCTGGGGTACGTATTTGTTTGTAATAACCTCAGAGTTAGGGCCTGTCTTTTGTCTAATTTGTTTGTGTGGTGGTGGGTATTTGCGTTTGTATAGTCTGTAATTTTGTGCGATGTCGTTGAATGTGGTCAGGCGATCACCCCACGACCATTCCGATTGTTGCTGTTGTGTTGATAATGTCATCGCCCTGCTCTCAGAGGTGAAAGCGGCCACCGAACTCTACCGGTGCCGGATTTACAAGTAGGTGCGACAATATATAATGTAGTGTTCCTACCTAAAAGAACGGAACAGCATTATAGCTTCAGTATGAAACTGGCGTCCATCTTAATCTGCTTTATTCCTAACTTCATCCTTCTCTTCTTTCCTGCCCCCGGCTCTCGTGCTTCTTCTTCACTCCTGTCTCAAGCCTCATACTGCTTCAAATAATACGCTCCGCATTTGAAATGGATACACAGTAACGAAAATACAGTCAAATAATATAGACCAGCTCTGAAAGAGTCACCCTATACTTGTTCACCAGCTGTTCACTGGCACTGTGTCTACTCTGTTTATCGAGCATAAAAAAGCAGTTGTACTTCTGCGCTGGGGAACTTTAAACACATCCTGAATAAAAATCGTGCGTATTTGTTGGTGCATAACACTTTAGAAAAACTGTTTCGTTCTTGAACTCGCGTTGTAAATGGCTGCAGAATTCGTTCTCGTAAAGTATCTGTTGGTGTACTCACCCTTATTATCATTTTTGCCAGCCTGACTTTGCAGTACCACTCCTGTTATGCCAGCACCCGTATTGCCCACTGAAACACACGTACCACCACTCTATATCACGTGCTGTCGATGCAAGTATTAAAGAATAAAGCGAAGAGTTCAAATTCAACATATTTTTGTGCCCATATGATGAGGGGAACTATCGTGAAGCTGTTAGTTATAACCTTTAGTACTGCTTTTTTTATTACTAGACGACGTTAGGAGGTCAGAAAAATTGGGCAAACACTATACCATGAGACAAGTATGGTCAATGTGGTCATTGATTGCGTTATAGAGGCACAGTAAAGCAGCTCGTAATACCGGGCCACATGGAGGCACATACACGGCACTGAACTAAAATACAAAGTCTATTGGAAAACAACTGTTTAATGATAGTTAATACGTTGCAGTGCTGGACTGCTGAACCGAAGTTCGCGGGATTGAATCCAGGTCGCAGAAACCACATTTTCGATGGAGGAAAGAATGTTCGAGGCCAATGTGCTTAGATTTTAGGTTTACGTTAAAGAACCTCAGAAGGTCGAAACCTTCCAAGCCCTTCGCTAAGGCGTCCTTCACATTCCCAACGTGGTTTGAGGACGCTAAACCCCAACGATTAATAAAACAGCGAGTATATATAGGAAGCCGGCATTTACGCCTAAAAATCAACCATTAGCAGAAATTTACATATATTTATTACAGGTTTTACATCCTAGACGATCAGTTCTAGCACACTATCATGAAGCTGTCACAATAAAATCTCTAGATATTTATATTTCACTGAAGTGAAGGCAAACGAAAGCACGCTTACACAAAACGCACCGTTCTGATAAATGTGGCAAACAGATCACGTGCTATCTGCACGTTGCAGCACCCAATGGCCACGCGCCCATCAAAAAATAGGCTGACATCCGCAAATTTTTAGAGTGGTCAGCCAAATGGCTGCGAACAGAGCATTTTCGTAGAGTACGCGTGCTTTCTCAGTCGATTATTTATGCATCGGCCGTTCTAGTCGATGTAACAGTGCCCAGAAGTATTGCGTTGTTTTTTGCGTATAAGCCCATTTTTCATCACAACTCCGGTGTAAGCTGACTGTGACATTGCTATTTTGAATTATTAGTCTACATTACTTGGCATGATTCCACCCTACTTTAGTTCAAGTTTTTCATAGGAGTACTGAAGCTCTTCTGTGCTTCTAACAATTACTTGCACATGTAAGGAGCGTGAATCTTCTCGAGTAATTATACGCAAGTTGCCATTCTTTAATCAGATCTGCCATGTTCAAAGCATATATAATTATATTCTATTATAAAGTGGCAGGTCTTACGTGCAGCTATCGAATCAGTTGCCATTTGCGTTACATAAAGTCCGCCAAGACCTCCATGTCCTGCAAATAAATAATCAAAATGAAGCAATTTCATCTACGTATTCACCGGTACTGCTTTCTGAATTTGCATGCACTTAGCTGGCAACAAAAAGATTGAAGTGTTCGCATTATATATGTGGTGCTAATAAAGGGTACGCCTTGCAGCGCAGTGACGCATTGAGCCCAAGCTTGTCGTTAGAGTTATTTCGCTGTGTTAGAGCATGAAGTACCACGTTTCACGCTAAAAACGTGAGTTTGATATCGCCGAAATATTTTTATTAGCTTTTTCCTTACGCACTCGTGCTCATTGTGATGACGTATCTTGGTAGCATTCAAATGATGACTGGTGCTATTACCAGTCATCATTTCACTAAATCTTTCAAATTACCACTGTTGTACACAAACTTGTTTCTTGTGTGTTTTTAGTAATACAACCCATGTAGACTTATACCTTTATTTCGTTGTGCTGCCATAAAGGGCTTTGAGGCACTTTCAAGCTGTTTCCAAAAGCTTTAGGCTTTTTGCCTGGGGGACCTCCAACAAATTGTAGCAAATCTTAGAAATGAAGAATTGATTGATTGATTGATTGATTAATTGATTGATTGATTGATTGATTGATTAATTGATATGTTTATTTATTTATTTATTTATTTATTTATTTATTGAATGATTATTTGCGTCATTGATTTTAGAGAAAAGACACTTCAATAGATCACCAGGTTGTTATTTTACGATCTATCTCTTTGTTGTATTAAACCTACCAAAATGATAAGAATTGAGTGGTGCCAGAAGCTTTCAGAAAATCTATGGCAGGTCATGCTTATCTGCATCCCCTTACACAGATGTCTTTATGGAAATTCGGTAAAAAAGTCATTATCACCCTGAATTGGGCGATAGGTAGTACACCATTCCTGCTGTAAAACTAGCCTGTCACTTTTCGGTTATACTCACCGTAAGCTCCACAACGTTTCACTTTCAAATGAAGAAACACATGTTGCACTCAACATGATGGCTATGAGTATCTGTAGCTGCAACCGCTAAAACACACAAGAACGTGCATGTTTTAAAGATATGTACTAGAGTACCCTAGTTAGGTCCTAGTTTTCTGAAAAGCTCTTCAACATAAATGAAAAGTGGCTCCACAGATTCTGTTCAACGCTTCCACATTGTGGTCAGAATAGCGCCTTTAGGCGTCTAATGTATCTCCGATACATAAGGACATTTAATGACATTATTGTATGTGATTGTTATCACATTTCCCAACATTAATTAGATCTGTGAGTCATTCTCAAATATAGCAGTAGAACTATTTCATGAAGTAGCGCGGTAACCAGTACGGTATTCTAGCTGCTTTATGTACTTGACAGGAAGGACAACTTTACCAAAGTGAATTCTTATTCGATAAATCTCATAAAGTAACGTTGCCAAAATTCATCAACTTTCAAGTCACATGAGGGGGTCCCTGAGATGCCCAGCTCGTAGTTGCTTCAGCCTTATCTCACCAACTTTTGGGGCCGACTGCATGCATTCACTGCATCCAGTCTTGCTATGTAGATGCCGTCAGCCAATCGGTTGACTGTTTGTTTACTGGGCGAAGTTGTCAGTTAAAGTTGTCAGCTTTAATGGTGTTTTTCTGTATTTAGCGTAATATATCTCTGAACAACATAATTTCATATATTTTCTCAAAAAAGATCTCCTGAAATTCATAAATACGTTATCCAACTTTTCATCTGTTTGTGTAGAACCTGCAGTAAGCCTATAGTAGAAAAGTTTTGGAGCATTTTAGGCTGCTCATTTATTATGGTGGATTCGCGGATGAAACTTTTTTTTTTCATAACATTGTTCCGGCACACTGAAATGAATAAACGTGAACATAATCCATAATTTCTTAGATGTAGCTTCTTGTACGTTACACAATTCTCTAGGTAGCATCAAACTTCCATCCACCAGATTGCTAGTAATCCTTCAAATAACTTTTACTGTCAGTCGTAATGAACAAGAGAAATAAATATGATGTATTTTTCTTCAAGGAAGAATCACAAGCATAATATGAATATACAATCCAGTCGCAAGGCTGAAAACTTTTTTTCTCTCTTTTTTGCATTCTTGCACATTTCTCTCTTCTAAGTGCATTGTTCAGTGAGCAAACACTCTTCATATCTTTCTTGTAGACGGCAATGTACATTTGCGTCAGCAGATATAATTATAAAGACTACCTCCATGAGCTAATAAAAATAATCGCTCTTTCAAATACAGTTCTTACGTACTGGCGCTCCACCTGGCGTGTGTGCGGTTTTTCATTTATGCTCTTTTAAGATGGAGAATCAATGTTTCTTTACGTACTTGAGTAGCCTGTCACTGCTGCCCAAACATTGGCTATGTATATGCCCCAAACCCAGGGAAATAAGGTGCACAAATATCTGCCTCAGTTTGGGCATGATGCGTTTGAAGGAGATATTCCACTTTTATTGCACTTAGGAAGTAAACGCTGCCACTTAGCAGCATAATTTCAGCGTGAAAATATTCAGCCACTGTCACACTTATTTCACTGGCAACTAACTGACAAGGCATCAACAATAGTGCAGGAGCAATAGCATATAAATGTTATATCTGATATAAATATAAGTCATCGAGGTGAAGGCTCATGCATAGTGGCCTTCAGGAGGTCATCGTTCACATTCACATGCATATATAGGCGTGCGTAGGGTTTCTCTTTGGGGAGAGGGGAGAAGTCGTTGCAGCGCCCTCTCACCTCTTACGCCAATGTATTGGGCTCACTTTGCGCCCCCCCCCCCCCTCACAAGTCGCAGCACCCCTCCCTATTATGTCAATGTATGGCGATAACTTAGCACCCCCTCCCCCCTCATAGGTTACTAGAGAGAGCAGCCACTCCTCACTCCCGCCCTTTCACCTGGGCACGCGTATGTTCACATGCACATTACTATTCGTACAATAGTAAAAAAGATAACAATGCACATCTGCTTTCCTTTCTCAGTAATCATTATTGGTTCAAACGATTATTTCCGCACGCATGTGAACATACATAGAATATAAAATCTATACAATGCTTTACTCCTGCGTAGTCAATGTCATTGCTGCAAGTCATTTCTGGTATCGTGTATACAAACAAATTCACTTACCTTTTTTCTTTGGGGCCTTTATTTTAGTTTTTGGATTGGACGAGTGCTTAATGTGTGCTATAAATCAAAGAAAGGAACATTTTATTCGGGCAATATTTGAATGGCTCTTATCATGTCATTGGGGCATGACAAGGCATACATCATCTCCAAGAAGGTGAAAGTGTGCTTGTGCAAGTAGAAACTTTAATCTTGCCTTCTTTTATAACTTGTTGTCACAGTGTCGGTACACCCACTTCTCTTATACTGCTTTATTGGCTCTTATTATCGAGATAATTAAAACCACCAAAGTATTCTTGCTCTTGTTTCGCCCTGCTAGCCAACAATTTTCGTATATGCAAAATTACACTTTTTCAAGCCACATATAAGAACGTTATTTCACACTTAATGTCTTTATCGTGGAATGAATGCTCACGAATGAGTCGAAAATAAAATAACGAAAACAAATTTATCACGAAAGTTGTTATACATCTCATCTTACAATTATTACAAAAATTTGTTCAATTTCTACTTCATAACATGATGAGATTCATTTGGTGACTTCCTTTTTTCGATAGCACTAACTGGCTAAAAATTGCCTACCATTATGACTAAGCCTGCAAGATTTGCAGGAATAATCCTGTTGAAATAATGTAAACCACTTTACTTAGAATTCGACCAAAATTTTGCAGACACCGGCAGTGCAGCATCTTTATTTTTGATCAGCGAAATATTGATACCTTCTGAAGCCGAACCGAAAAATGTATGTTAAACAACTTGAGCCTTCTGTCTAGCTTTGCTTTGCGTGTATCAAAAGGTTATTGTTAAAACTAGTTTAAAAAACATGTATGAATATTCTCACCGCATAAAAATGCATTCATTAAAATAAGGATATCACCAGTATTAGTTGTTTTGTTTTCATGTATATAGAGTTTCAAGGATGCGTCAATATTTTTTTTTCTGAATATATCTTTTTAAATGGCACAAGTTCCTTTCAAGTACATATTACAATTATTAATATTCATAAAAAATGTCCGCCAGCAATAGCATTATTATGAAATTTAATATCCGCACTGAAATCATTTTTACAATAGTTCTTTTATGATTATCAATTATATTTATCTTCGGTAATTAGTGATTGCATACTTTCAACTTTAAAGATGAATGTCGGCAATGGTGGCGTTGTACAGGGTTTTACACCCTTTTAGTTTTAAAACACATGCTGGCGAAACACGCAATTTTCGCCAAGAAATCGTCTTCAACGCCACTCTGTTGCGCATCTCCACGATGGGTCCAATAGGTCTTATTCATATGTTCGGTGTTTGCTAATATGGCTAATTAAATTTATTTGTCAAAGGGATGGCTTTTAAACCCATTGCATTCCAACACAGGTTGAATCCTCTGAAGAAACCACCTTCCTTTCCGTACTGGTCGTTATGTGTTATATCGTTGACTACAATTTAAACAGAAATCATTAATTTCATATATACACCTTGTCATGAAATACATTTGTAGCGGAGAAAAACATGCTAAATTTTAAAACCAACTCAAATTAGAAGCATATGCGATGGTCATCTCAAGTTGTTACTGAATCCACCGACCTTCTGGCGTTCTTCACCATTCCGCCGAAGACTTTTTGTACTCACTCATTTTAGACTTGGATTTTGAGATCCTCGGCTTTTTCACTCTTATCTTTTTCAATTCTGTAAAGAAGACATATTCAATATTACCAACGATGACAATTGTTAATACGTAAAAGTCATTTCAGTTTTCTGTAAAATATGTCTATCGAGGCAGGATACGTGCGTGTCTCGTGTGACAAAGTTGGAGTAAAAAATTCACACCATATCCACGGAGTAAATGGTGAGGACTGAGGCGAACCATTGATCCGTCCGTCTGTCTGTCCTTCCGTTTTTCTCTCGGTCCGTCCACTCCTATCACACAAGAGCACGCATCGGACGGACGGACGGGCAGACGCTTCACGCTACTCATCATCATTCACTATGGGGACATGCTGTGAATTTCTTACTATAACAGCGCCATCTATCCTCTTTATTTGTCAACTATACAGAAACCACTAATGGCATCTAGTGATACTACTTCCAAAGACATGTACATACAACGCCATCTAGTTAGGACTTATTAAAACTAACTAGAAGTGGATAAATACATACTACATACAAACGGAAGAAAGAACGACCCACATTGTAAAGAGCTTCGCCCCTAAAACACTGTGCCGTGTTGCACTACGAAACCTTTTCTGTGGGGCGTCGCCTCGGTAGAACAGTGGTTAAGGGGCTCGGTCGGTTTTGATCCTGGCTGCGTGGTCATATATCAACGGAGGGGAAACGGTACAGGCCCGCGTACCGTGTGATGTCAGTGCACCTTAAACAACACGAGATGGTTGAAGCTTCTGGAGCCCTCTAGTATGGCGTCCCTGATAAGGATGTCGTAATTATGGTACCTAAATGTCCGTGTATTATTATTAGGGTGCCCAAAAACAATACAGATAAGACACCGTAAGTGAACGGAATAATTTTAAAATAACTTACTTTATGGTAAAACTATCAAACGAACAAATAGTGGTTCCGGCAGATTTGAGTGATCTCTATGGATATTTGTAAGGGCTACCATCTGGAGAATGATGATGGTGCTAACTACGATAGTCATCTCCGAAAATTTTTTCCTTAGAGATTTTCGCGATTATGCAGTATTGTCCGGCCCTGGCCTCTCGAATAGCACCGATTGCGTATTGGCTGGAAGAGTTCACAGAGGGAACCGCTATCTTCAGGAGAACTACTGAATAACCGTAATAATACAATATTTAGAGCTTGTTGACAAGGCCTTGTACACGTTGTTTCCTTTCTTTGTCAGCCTTACGCTGTGGGCCACACGAGCAACTGGTACTAGAGATAGCAGAGATTATACACCACCTAACTGAGAAAGGGCACCAAAGTTCATTTCGGTGGTTACCCAGTCACTGCAGAATCATCGGCAATCACCGGGCCGATCAAGCTGCCCGCTCAGCCCACACAGAAAACCATGAACTGCGACTACCGCTTTTTAGGACCGATGCTGCGTGGAAGATCCACTAACTTGCTCGTCAAGAAACCACATCACAATGGAATCAGCCGCACTTCAAGCATGCCTGACTGTACCCGCTTGACCATGCGTTAAGTCTTGAAGTCCCGTCGAGGCTTCGCCAAGCAGACTAGACCCTTTTGTGCACTCTGTGGTTGGGCGTTGCACTTACTAACGCCTACGCCTTCCTCATAGGGATGGCCGACCTCGCAGCCTGTGACCACTGTGGCAACGAAGAAACCATGCGGCATATCCTTTGTGACTGCCTAGAGTGTAGTAGACAACGACTATATGCCTCCACAAGGAACTCAGCAAATTAGACAATCAACGTTTGTCGGAGGAAAAAAATTACAATATCGACAGGATGCAACGTCACAGACGAAGGCCCTGCAACAACTGTTTGTGTGTGTGTGTGTGTGTGTGTGTGTGTGTGTGTGTGTGTGTGTGTGTGTGTGTGTGTGTGTGTGTGTGTGTGTGGTGTGTTGTGTGTGTGTGTGTGTGTATGAGAGAGAGAGAGAGAGAGATAGAGATCGACTGGTCTTTCTGAACGGTCGCAGCCAGAACGCCCTTCCTGTGTGGGTTTGTTGTTATCTCCTGACTGCTCTTGTGTTTTTTCTTTCTCTCTCCACACCGTCTTTCTTGCACAATTTCCCCACACCAGTGCTGGGTAGCAAATTAGATGCCAATATCTGGTTAATATCCCGGCCTTCCTTTTCTCTCTCTCTCTTCTTTCTTTGTCATTCACCCGTCTTCGTGTTGCGAAATTTCAATGACTACTTGTCATTGGAGGTTAAATAGCAAAATGTGAGATTAAATAGTGTTCTTATGAACACCAATTCCGAAAGTATATAGGCATTTATTATACGGTAGGAAGGGGATATGAGAACTCGTGAATTATAAATCTGTAAACATGGGCTGTATCGAGCCGACCTTTCGACAAGTGGACTTGCCTTACTGTTCTAGCCTTGAGGAAGGCAAGTCCACTTGTCAAAACGTCGGCGCGACACAACCCCTGCTCACGGATTTTTTTATTATGGACATCTATAGCATATACAGAAATTGGGGCACAAAAGTAAAAAAGGCCTTTACAGCCACTATAAAACCCTATAAACGTTCTTAACCTCTGATTTTACTCATATATCAAAGTGACACGATAGCAACGCAAAGAGTAAAATAGGCATTTCTTTATAATCTCATTTTTCCTGATGAGGTACAAATACAAGATACCGGCAAACACCTCTAAGGGAACACTACTTTGGAAAGCGAGAAGCGTTCGGAACAGCGAGAATAAACGAGGCTAGCTTACAGGTGTGCGAACTGTGCTACAAACTTTTGTAAAAGTTGCCGTGGCACGTTCTTGAGCAGTGAAGCACCTTTACCCAACCCTGTTGCTATCTGCAGTTTTATGGCAGTGATAATGCGCTGCCAAAAAATCTAACAGAAAAAAATTAGCAGCATATCCACGGAGTGACGATGGAGCGTGGGGCGAAGCGTTCGTCCGTCCATTCGTTCTTGCTTCCGTCCGTCCATGCGTCCGTCAGTGTGACCGTCCATGCGTCCATCAGCCCGTCCGTGCGTGCGTTTGTTCGTGCGTCCGTCCCTGCGTTCGTTCATGCATCCGTCCCTGCATCCGTTCATGCGTCCATCCATGCATCTGTCTGTGTGTCCGTTCGTCCACCTATTCAACACTCCAAGTACCACCATCTCGCATCTTTTCATCATATATTCCCCATATAGAAGCACCGCCATCCAGCGGACATTCCAAGGACTGAACGAGAGGAGGCACACACACACTTTCTTACGGCTTGCGCTTCGTGTCTATTTTCCACATTTAACCACCTCGAGTTCATGGTATATACTAGTTCACTGTATTCATGGCACTGTGACCCAACGCTCGCTAAACCTTTCTAAAACCTAGGAGGTTACGTCCAGCGAGTATAACGTAGCAACCCTTTCTTGTCTTCCGTGCGTTGTTGAACAATAAAAAATTCGCAGCGTGCGCGTTAACTAAAAGCCGAGGCTCCTGTTTCTCATTCCCCATTACCAGCCATTGGCGTGTACATTGAGCACTATTTTTTATTGTTCAACAACGCACAGAAAAAATCTCTCACCGGCACCACCTTGGATGTCAAAATTTTTGGATGTCAAAATTTTACATACTACAACGGCTACGAGGGACGAACAAGTGCCGCTATTGAAAGCTTCGCCACTAGAAAAATATTGTAGTGCAGACTTACTTGGTCTTGCTATTTTAGAGAGGGCCTCTTCGAAAAGCTGAATAGCGAGGGCGATCACTAGGATGATGACAACAACGGGTCTCATTACCTCTCACTTCTAAGAAAATGTTTTCGATCTAATCGCCAAGCGATCGTCTTCAGACTGGGCTAATTCATGCAACGTGACCACAGCTTTGTCTGAAAGCGCGAGTCCACAAGTGTTTCGCAGCAGACAATGAAAGCAGTGTATGTAGGTAGTGCGGGTAATGTTGTATAACATTTTCCCGACACAAAAGCGCTAGCGATTCACGACTCCAACGCAGAGTAGCGTATATTAGAACAGTCGGGTTATAGTTCATGCGAAAGAAAAAAGCCAGCATTAAAACATTGAATCCCTCTGTACATAAAAAGTCAGCATTGCCAGAAGCAATCTGGCACCACATTCGCAAATATTGTAATATTCTGCACACACATCTCTCTTTCCAGTGATTGTATTCTCAATACTTATTGTTTTCATTTAGTTTGATAGCAAGTTTATTTTCCCGAAACACACTTCCTCATAACATTAATTTCGATTCTTCTGAAGAACAGAAAGCTCATAATCTTTATCAGTGGATCACTCATATTACGTAACAGCTTATGCGGTACATACGTCATAAAGCATCTTGGGGAAACTTTATTGTCTTGCTGTAGTATTCTGTGGCTCTGACGCAAAGGCAGAGAGCCTTTCCAAACGCTTACCGCCGTACAAGAGCTGAAAATATTCTTCTAAACAATCATCTTAAGATCTTGTTATAACTCAAATTCTGAGAATCACAGGTGTGTTTTGGCCGCTGGTCACATATAGAGGCATTGTTCTCACAAGGTGCTTGACAATGTTTCTTTTTTTTTTGCTAGCAAGCACTCATCTCTCTTAATGCAAATCTTGAAACTATCCTTCCATGTTCGCTGCACTCTCATTTTACTGGCATTTAACGTGACACATTTTACCTTTGCCATTGATAAATATTATATTATACGACCAATCTGTCGTATTTATCATGCATTAGTCTCATTCTACCTGGCGCAGGGTATCACAGCCGTTTCACCATCTTCACTAGCTATGCCTCTACGGAATTTCGTTTTCTTCAGTTCACTGCTCACACTGGCTGCTGCCCGCCATGGTATCTCGTATGCCACTTGGAACAAACTTCACCACAAATAAAGTATTCAATAAGTTGACAGTACAATCGAACATATCGTCTATGCGTAGCAGCAATGGCCGGCAATACGCACCAATAATCATTGTCTATCTCTAGCAGCAGCTTCCAGGTCGCTTCTATGTTCAACTGAACTAAGTGTTTTGTCATTATTCAGTATGCGAAGAACTTGCTTTAAATATAACACAATGGGTGAGTGCTCTGACACTCAATGGCACCTCCGGCGCTTCGCGAAACATTCAGCGCCGATAACTTGTTATACCCTGCCAGCAAAATATTGCATGGGGCCATCTCGAAATTCCGGACCTTGCGCCACCTCCTGTGGCAGATTAGCAAGTCTTGCACTGCTATGCTCATGGTGGTGGGTTCGATTCTCGACTGCATAGGCCATATTTTGATGAGGAAATACCCATGTGCTCATATATAGGTGCACGTTAAGAAATCTCAGGGAGCCAAATTAACCCAGATCACTCAATATACGGAGTTACTCATAGTAATATCATTTGTCAGTTTTGCACGTAAAACATCAGTAATTGAATCGATATATCAGTAAAGAGAAATCAGATTGTCAATGTTAAGCCTTTTTTTTCGGACAGTTTTGCATGAGCATATTTCAAAACATGGTTTAAATCTATCCTAAGGTTTGCCATACAAAAACGATCGGTCCTATATGCCATGCATGCCATATGTGCAGTATATCGGCCCAGCAGATTACCTAATTTACTTGCCGTGATGCGCTCAATCTCTTCAACTATGACGTATTTATTATGTTGCTCTATGATATTTCTATCTCGTCGTTCACTCTTTTTTAATCATGGCAGACTTTCTTGGGATACTTGAACTCAGAAATTTTGGTCTCTGTGTGCGTGCGTGTGTGTGTGTGTCACACTAAACCACTCAGCCAGGTGGCAAAGTTAAAGCACTTGCTGTCTGCCCAGCCATCTTGAACTGGTGGCTGCGTTCATACTTGTGAACGCAGTCGATCAAAAAAAAAAAACCTATAACGTATATATGAGGCGCAATATAAATACCTACTATTAGGTGATGTGTCTGTTTACTAGAAAATACATTACTAGTAATTCTAAAAACCGTAGTGTTTCTTAGGCTGTGCTAAAAAATGCGATGCTATGCATAAAAGGAGGTGGGCAGAACAAAACACTGTCGTCTTTAGACTACATTTTCAACGAAGTACGCCGACTCACGGCCGTTTATTTTTTTTTTAGTGTCATTATATAGACGGTTGCAAGGTATCACCTCACTTACCAGCTCCCTTAGTGCAGGGTAGCAAACTGGATGCTCCAATTTCTGGTTAACCTCCATGCCTTTCCCTAATTTTATTCTCTTTCTCTCTCCCTCTCTCCTAACGTCGAAACTGAAAGCACATTTTCAATGTCTTTTTAAGCGCCAGGAAACTCTCGCTTTCGTTTTTCACATAAAAGAAACGTGCGTAAAGTACAGGGGAATGTTTTGTAATTTTCATGTAGCTCAAAAGAACATTTATTTGAATGTATTTTGCCAAATAAAAGAAATAAACTGTAGAAAATCAGCGGGCTATTTTCTAAAGCTCTTGTGATCCGCCAATGCTATTAAATCACATTGGTGAACAAAACCGGAAGTCATCAAGGGGCTGTGTTCGTAACCCTTGCAATGGTTTATATGTGAAAAAGTTAGTTTATTTCGCGTCCCCAAGAATACGCCCATTAAAATGGCAATATATAGTAAAATACACGTCCCTCTTATTTTTGCAAGTGGCACTTCTTGGCACATTATATGACCGCATTAAATGTGAGGTAAATAATGGCAACACTTATCCCTGTGCGCAATGGAGGTGTAGCGGTTGCAGCACTCGGCTATTGATAAGGCCTAATGCCTTGAAAAAGACGAGCTCCCGTCGAAACGTCGGCTGAATGAACAGTTGTTATGTGAAAGCGCAGCTACTTTCATACTTAAACCTTGCGGCAACTGAAGTTAATCTCTGCGTATAAGCCATATATATATATATATATATATATATATATATATATATATATATATATATATAGAGAGAGAGAGAGAGAGAGATGAGGAGGAGGAGGAGGAGGAGGAGGAGGAGGAGGAGGAGGAGGAGGAGGAGGATCAGCGTCCTGAAATGTAGGCAGCTTTCATACGTACCACAGCAAAGCACTTCATCATTCCTTTTCGTGGCACGGATTCCAGCTCATGTCTATCCGACATATTCTTCAGCTTAACATTTCGTCTCCAACTTTGACAAATGTGGCACACGCTAAATGTAACTAGTTCAGTGTAAACGTTACAACATATTTATTCATTCATTTGTTTGTTTACTTACCTATTTATTTATTTATTTATTTATTTAATCAAAACGTATGCGTCATTCTCGTTCCCACGCTGCGCAGTAGTGGGATAGAACCTATAAATGGGTCACGTGGTGTGGCCCAGTAGGTACATTTGGATTCAGTGCTTCTCTGTTACTTTTTTCACATGTCAATTTTGGGACTTTAAATCCCACATATCAATCAATCAATCAATGTGTTACTTTTTTCATCTACCATTATACTATAAAGTAGTAACAATAATGTTGTCTTTTTTTATCAGTGGGCAGTGTATCTATGATGTCATTTGGAAGTCTCATAGGCTTTGTCTGCATTTTATTTTATTACAAGCTGTGTTTTTTTTTTCTTCCTGTGACATGTATTAGCACTATCAGCGGTACGCCGTAAGGTCGCGTGAACGAATATTTCCTTGTCAAATTAATTGCTTTTTCCTGCTCTCCGACAAAGATCACAGGAAAAGACTGTATTTTTTAGCGTTACAAAAGCTTTACAGGCCGTAGATTATGAAACATAACTTATAACATAACTCTTCTTTCATTGGCTATATATGCGTGTCTCAAAACTTGGAAATTCATGAAAGCCAGTAGTTCGGCTATTTCTGCTTAAAAGAAGAGAAAGTGACAACTTTATTTATGTGAATGACGTTTATTTGATCGAAGATTTCAATGTCATTCAATATTTAATGAACCAGTTCCGGACCTCAGTATACTCAGTTACCCTAAGCATACTGACTTACCCCTGGGCATGAGCTTACTGTCATCGCTCTAGGAGTAAACCACAGGTGTATGTTCCTCTGAGCTTCATCCAAGTACAATTCTCAAATATTTACACAGATTTCTAATGCAAATGTAGAGATTCTCAGCGGCCTGAAAAGTTGTAAAATCGAAGAATTATTACACACTCACAGTTTAGATTTTCATTTTTTTGTGGCATACATTTAAGCTTTTGGTTCCCCAACATATTCGTCAGCTTCAAATTTCATTTCCACCGTTTAAATACTGGATGCACGTAAAATGAAAGAACTCCTGTGGAGAAGTGACGACGGAGTATTTGTTCATTTCTTTATTTATTTGGCATCTGCTTTATTTTTTTTCATAGCAGCAGCTGGTAAAATTCATAAAACAAAAGAAAGATACATTGTATTTTGTGAAACCCTTAAGCAGTCTCCCTATTTATGTACATTGCCATTACCCACGAGCCTCGACAGGGAGGTACAAAAGGGGGCACATGCCCCGTTCAAGCCACACCAGTACTTGCATTCACTCAAGCTACACCAGTGCTCTCCCCCATCTCAGCATGATGCGAGACTGATTCGCACCAAACTTACCTCCACCCCCCTCTCGCCTTACGAGACAATCTTGCCTACGACCACGTTTTCGCTTACATCAGAAATGCGGCCGCCACGGCCGGAATGTGATCCCGCGATTTTCGGGTCAGTAGCTGTCCTCAATCACGTACTATATAAGCATTGATGTTCATTTGGAATAGGTATACCGGTATGTCGCAAAAAACCACTGGTCTGTTTTAACGCGTCTGAGTGGAACTTTTTAGTGCGTGCGTGTGTGTATACGTGTTTTGTTCCTAATTATTTTTTATCTGCTTCTCTTTCAATCCCCAATATCCCAATCCCAGTGCAGGGAAGCGTACCAGATCCTGGCATCTGGTTAACCTCCCCGCCTTCCTCTTTTTTTT